ACAAAGCTATCTACGAAAGTACTATGTATATTATTATCTACTTTAATTATTATAAATGAATTATAATTTCTGTAAGGCCTAAACAAAGTACCCTAACCTTTATAGCACATAAACATCTTAGGAATGAAAGATGACATAGACGTATAATTGAAAAGCACTAACAAAGTTGCATGCAAACAGGAACACCTAATAAGGACATAGACTATAATTAATCTTAGTCCAAAATTAAACTCTTAATGATTTTTGTATTCCATTTACATTGACACTTAAAGAATACATCATGAAAAAATGTTATTACAGTGATTCTCAGGGGAAGTCAGAGTGATTTATCTTGTATAATGAAAAGGTGTCACCATAAACACAGCATGAAACCATGAATATTAATAACGAAGTCAACTAAAACTCAATCATCAGAATGCTTCTAATAACCACAGGCATTGTAGACACTTGGGAAGAATTAAAACAAACTTATATAAACTGATTACTAGAAGGAGCAAAATAATATGGATAAATAGGCACAAATTTTCAAAGCAGCTCCCAGTAACTTTTTCCATGTGACAGAGACACTTGCAATTTATAATTACATAACTTATTTTATAATTAAGTTTTATAGGTTATTTTATGAATACCTCAAGGTGTCTAATTTAGCTGCAATCTTGTGTGTGTGATCTAGACAGTATATCCTCTCTCCTCTTGGGAGCTTCTCCGCAATTATCTTATTCCTCCCTAATCCCCTATATATCTCATTATATTAGACTATAAAGTCATCCTCAAAAAACAAGAAATGATCTGAAAGTCTATGTTTTTAAAGCTTGGGCTGCATTAAGCCTATTATCCAAAAAAACCCTCATCTCCAGAGACTTCTTCAGTTCACTCTAACTTGTCACCTTATTTCTTTACAAAGAATGTTAGTCCTTAGAGAGATATAATCCAGGTAAGTAAAGCTTTACTATTCTTCTGTGAGAAAGTTTGCACAACAGCATTAACAAAATAAAAATTCAGTTTACTACTTCATTTATCATTCCCTAATTTAGAAATTCATCAGCAATAATTCTCTATTTGGTGCTTCTGTCTGCCAACAAGCTCTACTAGACCAGCCTTACCTTTAGTCTCCACCTGCAACCCTGCCAAGGAGCCCCATTTCAGCTCAGCCAGGGCCAGGAGTGCAGGCTGGGGCTGCGCTGTAGGAGCACGGGTCTGGAGCCCTGCCTGTGCATGGCCATAGCTCTGCTGACCTGAATGCCCTGCCTAAGGCAGATCTCAGAGACTAGCTACTTAAAAAACAACGCTTGTAACTACCAAAATATTTTACTTGCAATAATCTTTGCTGAAGCTCAGGGCCATATTGTCCTGATTCAGTTACCTAAATCTTAATTCTACATTCTGTATTTGAGAAATCTTACTCAAGAATGATGAAGAGTTTTGCTTTAAAAAGTACTATAAAGATGAAATTTGTAGCTGTAAACTATATTATTTTATATAAAAACTTCTAAAGAGATCCTACAGCAATGTCCACGGTGTGGAATTAAATCATGTAACTTTCAAAAATAAAAGCTGAACTAACAAAATCTATTTGGTGGAACTCTAGAAAAGAGAAAATGTTAAGGAACATGACCACTTAAATCCCCATCATTTGTTCTAAACTGCAGTTTGCCTTGCCAAAAGAAATTTATTTTATTCCCTACTCCTACTCTTAGCAGTTCTATATATACTTCATTGGTTATTCTGACAGAATTATTGTCTACTTTCTCAATGTCCTATTAGTTTCTGTTGACTGCAATATTTTCTCTTCAGACTGCTGTTGCTAATTTATCTTTATTTTACGTATTAGTTTTTTCACCCATATTCTTTTAAGATATTCAATTACTAAATTTTAGTTAACCAATATTATTCTTAAGATGCTGTCTTTTCTTACCTGAGGAAGAAAAAAATTATAAAACTTATAAAAAAACAGATAAACATTAAGCATGCGGAACAATTAAATAAACGCTTTATTTTTAAAAAAATAGTCATTAGACTCATTGAAGCTGAACTCAGAATTTTTAAAAACTATTTTTCACTTCATTCTTTTTCTTTTAGGAAACTATGAGAAAATAAATTGGTCTCATAAGGAGTCTATTAACCACTTGCCACATCTCCCAGATTCTTTTTTCTACATGTTAGTTGTTTCATGATTTGTAGCAAGAGTTAATTAGCTATACTTAATTAGTTATCAGTCTACATGTCAGGTAGTTCACCATAAATATCAAATGCCGTAGAGAAACCTATATATTTGACCAATAAATCGACAAATCTATACCAATGTAAAGAACAGATTAATCAAGAAATGAGTTTAATACACACTAATAGTTAAGTTTTTATAGGATACTTTAACATGGTTATTCACAACAGATCATTTAATCACTTGTTTAATCTTCTCGAATTTTTCATTACTTGCATATTTTCAGAGTACAAATGCAGTTATTTTGAATAAATATTCATTTGTCTTTAAAATCATTGTAAATTTTCTGCCTGTAATCTTTGAGAATATTATTAGACTAAAAAAAACTTCCAAATTGAAAACACTGCCCTTTCATTTAATGGTGGCATTAGCTAAATTAGCACTAGCTAATTTAGATGTTCATCTTTAGTTACTAATCCAAAAATTCATTCAAATTCAATAAATTATCTGGAACAGAAAAGGCAAAGGAACTCCGTAATTAGGTCAGAAAGCTAAATTCTTCTGTTTTATCCTAATTTACAGAGAGGCCCAGACCCCTGCTGCAAGAGAGATGTAAGCCCAAGTGACTTGCTAATAACCAGACATGCTTAAAAAAAATAGTGAGGTAACTCTTGAATGATCCCATTACTGACAGCTCTCACCTTAAAGAAGTGCTTTTACTTCTCTGTAAATATCTTGCATGAATATGTTAAAATATGTGAATGGGCCAAAATCACAATAGTCAGAAAGATGTTGTAGCATCTTTTATAGACATTCTATTGCCTTACAGCATCTATGAATCAATTATCTTTTTATAGACTCTTTTGCTAGTAATTCTGTGACTAACTACATGCACCATGACTCTGCTTTTTAATTGTACTTGAAAATGTCATGTATGTGCTTATGCAACAGGTTATCTTCTCAAGTATGTAACTAAATACTGTGAAAGCACTCATCACCTTTTCCCTTGTGTTTGAGCTATTTTTCTAATATCACTGCTGTCAGAGACTTGGCTTAAGCATGAGCCTCGCATATATTCTTGGTGCATTTCCTGAGAACATGCTCCATCCTGCTTGAGGACTGCACATCTTTTGAGTATTCACTGCCCACAGGTTGTATCTTTCATGTGTTAATTTATACTGATAGAACTATGAATGAAAACAGGAACAGCCGGCAGGGAAGCCAAAATTACCAATTACGAGTTACTTTTCTTTCCAGTTTGCCTTTGCAAGTGGAGAGGAAAAAAAGTGTCGTAAGACAATACACAAACATGGACAAAGCTCCTTTTTCTGCTCAGAAACTACTACTGAGTAACACTCGTCCAGGCTAACTAGGCAATCTCCAGTGTTCAATTCCGCTCTGCAGAAGGGAATGTCAGTAAAGTAATACGACTGCTGCCACTCCATTCATCCTCATTCATTATGCAGTATCATCTCCAATAATCCAGGTAAAAAAAGTGACAGTAATTATCTTCATCTCTTTTTTCCCCCTCACCAACCGTTGCTTGACAAAAGATAGTAGGTAAAGATTAACTCCATTAAATGCTAATTTGTACTCCTTTATCATGGGTAACTGCCTTATAAAGCTAGAAGGCGGCATTGACAAAGGCTAATTTTAATCTTGCTAGATTAACCTCCATGGATTCTCAATGTAGTCAACAGAAAAGAGGTGGGAAAGAAAAGGATTGCCATCTTTAGTCCATCATGCTCCTATCTTACTAATGCAAAAGGATGGTCCTGCTTTTCCCTTCACCATGATCTGAACTATTTTAAAAGCAAGATGCAGAGATATTATTAGCCAGTTGACCTGACAAACTTAAACTTCAAAATCACCAAACAGCAGGTTGATTGTTAGTGACTGCCCCAAGCAGCTGGTTGGCATAGGTTACTGGAGGTTGGGAAGATTCCCCTTTCTGGTGGCAGCACAAGTGTGAATCTAAAAAATTTACAAGTCTAAGTATCAAGCATAATTTCATCACACACATGCTCAGGATCATCTGCAGTTCAAAAGTTAGAAAAGGATTTGTGTGCTTCTGCTGTTTTTTGCTACACTTAAGTCAAGTATGATTTTTATTACCTAAAGAAACATGTAGGAATAAACATTCATCACTGTTCCATTACTGCTTTTCAATTTTATGCTGTCTAGCCACTGTAATTTAGTATCATTAGTACTCGTAATATAAACTGCTGTTACATACACTACAGTGTTTGCAGAACCTATAGTATACAACAAACATTTTCATACCTCTCCACTCCTATTAGGCATAATCCTTTGATGTCATGGCATATAATTTCCAGTTTATGACAGCTTATCCTTTTCTAGCTTATTTTGGTTTTAAGTAGTTCTGCTTCACATTTTGCAAAGCCTTTTTTATTACTAGGTATGAACTGTTTTACTGTTTACATGGCACGTGATCTGGGCAGAGAAGGAGCCTTCATGCTTCACCTGTTTTTCATCAGGTTGAAGGCTAACAATCAGGGAAAAGCAAGGCTCCCAATGAGCTGCTACTCTTATTTTCACTGAGGTGACTTTTTTTTATGACAGCTCTGACTACCTAAGTATTTTCAATGCTTAAGCACATAGAAATCAACGTATTCTGAGAGATAGTAAAGAGGAATCTCATAGCCCACTGACCCATCAACTTTGTTGTCCCACTGCACACTCTTAGAAATGGTATTTGTTCTTCCTACTGGCCTCACCTTATTTAAAATGCTTACATATGTATCACTGAATATAACTCAAAAATAATAATAAACAAAAAAGAGAGTTTTTACCTGTTCGATAGGACAAATTAAAATACCTTAGTGTGTCTTCTTTCATGTGGAGACCACCGTCCACAGAAGACAGGCTATCCAGTGTATCTTGACGTGAATGACTTGTGCCTAGGAGAGGAGTCCTTCTATGATAGCCTCTACAATCTAAATCTTCATGGATATCTATGGAGAAAGGAAAGCTACTTAGGACTTCTCAGGTTATTTTACAGGAAGAACTTCTGAAAGAGAAAGTAAACATTATATTCATGAATAATTATCTTAATCAACTTAATCAATTTGATTCCAGAATATTTTTATAATTAAACCACTTCCTACAAGAACATCCGGAACAGAGTTACAAGATTGACTTTTAATTTTCTAAAACCTTAGGCTACTTCCTTTTTCCTCACACAAACATGGGAAAAATTCACTTCACTACTGAAGAACAGACTATTACTGGATTGGAAAGAAACTCTATCTTTTCATTTTTCAGGTCAATTATAGTTCTTAACTGAAAATATATTTATATCTGTGCACAGCATTCAAAAAAATTCTGGTAAAGAATCACATTTATTATTTTAACTCCACTTGCTATCACTCTAAAATTGACCTCTTTGAGTTCTCATCTCTTTAGAGAAACCTGAAAAGTCTCGTCTGAAGAACATTTTACATTATGTAAGTCATAATCTGGACCTGAGCAATGAAACATTACTTTTCCATGTTTACTTGAAGAGTTGGGATGCACATCTCTTCTTACTTCTGATCATCCTTCTGATGCTTTGCTCACATACTAACAGGTACCTTTTGTTGTTTTTTCTTTCACAGCTAAACAAAGTACCTAGACAAACTGCCATACTGAGTAGCTGTCAAAAAAGTTAAATTTATGTCCTAGCTTTTAACCAGAATAAAAGCAACACTGCTGTGAAATAAAGATAAAAGGAAGATAGCGTTTTGGAAAAAAAAATGAATCTTACGCTTAAGTTAAGCTCTATTTACATATTAAGTTAATTCTCTACTTAATAAGTAATGGTAACTTTAAAGCTGTTCAGCTGTATGTGTGTTATAACACAAACTAAGATAGTCTGCACTTAGAATTTTACAGGTTGATGCATGAAGTTTCCTAATAACTCTGCTAAGATTTTTTTCAGGCCCTTGTTTTATGCTGATCAAAATTCTATGGGAAGTTCTTCCTCCACCCCTTCCCTCCATTTGCTGTTTCTTCTGTGTATCACTGGATTAGTATTGGGGAATAACTTCTACAAGGCTTATGCTTTTGACTGAGCCCACAGTCCTATTGACTGAAAAGTCCCAGGTGATCTCAAAGAAAAATCAAGTGAAGGTTTTTTCACTTATCTTTTCTACTGCTGATAAAACAGCAAACTGTTTGTCTTTGCATAACACTAGAACAGAAACACTTGGTGCACTTGGCAATCAGCACTTTCTCTCTTTACTATGGAGTTAATTGGATCATCTATTCTTACCTTATCATTTTAAGTTTGTTCTATTTTTGTGACAAGAAAGATAAAGTTCTTTGCAAGCCAATGGTTATTCCTATTCTACAACTATAAATCTTAAAACTATATTTACGTACACTATGGGAAACTATAATTTTATGTATGTTACTGCTTCATATTGGGGCGAGATCTGTGCATGTGTAATCCCACACACAAGAGAGTGTTGTGACAAAGGGAGCTGCAGTATATTTTGGATAGATTCACAACCTATGTAACTGGTTGTGGATTTAAAGAATTCCTTGTGGTATGAGCTGTGATCAGAGTTCTGCAATTTACATCTGCAAGGACAAATCTGAAGGTAAAGTAACAGCCTGAACAGAAACATTACCCTGTGGAAAATGTACAGACAAGATGTTAGGAAAACAACCACGTTCTCTTTTGCTGCTTCTCAGACAAAAGCTAAGTATTGATTGTTCAGCAGTTCAAGAACTTCCCCGAAGAGCTGAAAGAATATCCCCTTATTTTTGACCTATAAAGCTTCACTGCACTTGAATGATTAACAGTATTAGATAGAACCTGTCTCAAAAAAAGAAATGGAAAAAGAAAAGAATTTTAAGAGATTTTACAGCCACATAAAAGTAGCAGCAGAACAAAACTCTCCTCAAAGGCAGTTCTGCATCAGAGTCTTACAAATGCAATTTCTCTTACAAAACTCGGCAAGTATAAAGAAATCTTTGATGGCATGCACTTTACACCCATTTGAAAGCTCCCTCATTTGCTGGAGTTGTAAAACTGATGTTTATATATGTGTGAAAATGATCTTTCTGGATTTAATGATGTTAGACACAAGTCACCAAGGCATGCATAAGATTTTTTCTATTTAGGCAATAAATTCTTGAGATTTTTCACTATTACCTCTGCTTATTGCATCCTTTTGATGTTATTCAACTTCATCAGTGTAATAAAATTCACACACCTGTAAAAGATACTTATCCTCTCTGCTTTGGCACCAAGAAATCTAAAGCCCTTATAACATCATCATTTCGAAAATCATAATAAACCTATAAAACAAACTTGAAGAGGTATCAATAGCATTAAATCTCAAGTTTAATGTTTACATGATCTGTCCAGGCAGACCAATTGCTCCACGTAACTGGCAGCATCACTGTATTTTCAACTATACACATCTCCATCCTTTTTATGAGATTAATATTATGTTTACTAACAGCACATGTCCTAGTGAATGAGTTTTATGCAATGTATATAATTTTATTATTTAATGAATGTTAACGATATAGGCTTCTAACACTGGTTGCAATAAAAATACAAAATGTTTACATTTTCTTGTCTTCTCCTAATACATGAACGACCTAGAACATCTGAAACAATTATTATATTTAATCATGAAATCTAATTATCCTTTAAAAACTGACTTGTAGAAATCTGTGCACATAGCTGTTAATTTCCTAGCAGAATTTAAAAAGAGATCATTACTTGATAGCCTTTCAGCAGAGCTCAATCTAAATGGCAAAAGTGAAATGATTACTTTGCAGAAATAAAACCACAACCAGAATTAGCTAATACTTTCAGTATCCACAAACAAGTTAATGATGCTGAAATTTTTTCCTGGTAATGCATTCCGTGCTTTAAGACAAAATAAAAATATATAGTTAGAACAACACGGGGTGGGTTATATTGGTTTTATACTGATTTATACTAGATGTCTTGCATCTTCATGAAGCTAAAGTCTCTGGTATTATCAAATGGGCATCTTTCATAAAACAGTCTTCTTCCTGTCTGATGTAAGCTGTCCTAACAAAGAGGTCTGCTGATGTCAGCAGCCAAAGACAGATCCTCATCTCGTTATGGTTGAATTGAAAACCATTCAACATAATATGTAACTTCAAAGAGACTGCAGGTAGACGGTAAAGGTAAATGCATGGTTTTCTCAATGATGGAAACCTAATGCTTTTTATATTTTCCCATGTATACACAACTGTAGTGCAAGAGTGACCTCTGCAGGTTTACAAAGCACTATAGACAGTTCCAAGGAGAGTCTTTACAGATTATTTCTAACTTCTCTAGCATTTTACTTGGAATCAGGGTAAAAGCATCAATAAAAAAAAATGACACACTGAGTAGCAATCTAAAAATCAATAGAACCCCGAATTTACAACTTGTAAAAATACGAGAGCAAATTTCCTTAATGAACATGTGTCAAGCTTGGATCTATGAAAATCAGGAGGAAGGAGTCATTTAAAATATTTCCCTAATTCTACAGAGATTCCCGCAATAATTTATTGTGTATAGAATAAATCCCATTTGTATCTCATTTCCTCCTCTTGTAACGAATGTTATACTGCTACATACCCTACAAATTACTACCCTTTCTGTTGTATTCCTTAAAAAAAATTTTGAAGGACTTATCCCATTTCACATGTGTACTTTACATTATGCTTACAGAATCAGAATGATCCAGACAAAGAGAAATGTTAACAGCAAGAAAATACTTCCTCCATGCAAACCCTTATTCAGAACACCAAAAATTATTTGTAGCTTACAAATCAAAATATGAATAGGGATTAATTTATCTTTCACTCACACTGCTTTCTTGGCTGCAATTGCATTAGATATATCTACCGAATAATTTATTTTTGTGAACTTGTTTAGACCTGTTGCATTGTTATAGTTATTTGGACGATCTTGATAGATTAGACTAAAAATACTACATATAACCAATTTCCACCCTTATATACACTGTAACAGCAGATATCTACTGCTAATAAATAAGTCCTAGATATTTTTTTAAATCTACATTATAGAAATAGCTAGTCAAAGATGATGTGTTTCAGAATTGTAAGACAGCCTTAGAAGTAGATTTCTTTCCAGCTCTACAATCCACATGTGGATGAACATTAACTAGTGAAATGGATGTTCATTAGAAGTGGCCCTCAGTAAATATCCTATTACTTACCAGGATTAAGCATACAAATGCTCTGATGAGTAAATTCTATAGAATTACTGCTAGACACTACCTCAGGAAGTTAAACAGACTGGTTGGAGTAAAGTGTATTTACAGATCCTTTTAATTCTATCTCAATCTGTAACTCACCAAATGGTAACGCAAAGTAGACATCTAGTAGGATCTCATGTGAAGTTGGTGTTTTTGTGCCATGGATCTCACTTCCAGTTTTCACAACTTCAGAATGTAATGTCCACCAGTCACCTGGGCCTTCCTATGAAAAATAGGCTTAAAGTTAATAGAGTAGGATTTATAGTATTACCCACTTCTGGCATCAAGATTCCCTTCAATCAATGGAAGTCTCCTTATGACATGAACAGCTTAGGATCCTTTCTTGATTCTTCCAACTTTTATTTATGTAAGCAGTTGCTAGGTCTTCAAGTTCTCACAGATACGGTATCTGAAACACATCTGCTCTGCAACAAATTCATAGACGAATTCACACTACCATGATTAAGATGCAAAAAATGAATACTCAAAAGTTACTCTATTTATAAACTTTAAGTTTAGAGATAGATATAGAGATCTTTAAGTTCCTCTGACTTGCTGACAAAAAAGCACATTCTAGCAAGGCTGATGTGACCAATGCATGATACTAACAATCCAAAATACAGCTTTTGAAGAAACTCAGTAACTAGAAAAGTTCCAGAGTGAACTAATTATAAATAAATTCCTTCAGGCCTTCTGAGCTTTAAAAAGAAACCCCGCCTTACATGTTCTGTTTGTTTAAATTTCTAGTCACTCTAAGCCACAACCTCAGTGCCAACAATTGTAACTCAACAACAGCTGGGGAGCAGAGCTAAGCAATCTGCTTAGGAGTCTAAAACAGCTTGCGGGAGCTGTGGAACATAGCTACCCATAATTTAAACAGGAATAACCTTCTTCCCCTGCCTCCATTCTCTGAGTAGAATCAATAAAATCTGAAGTATATGTGAAGTATCAAATCAATGTATATATGAATAATCAACAGTCCCTACAAAGAAAAGGCTATTGAGACTGATATTTCTTTCTTGCACTTTCCTTTTTTTGCCCCTGCATGTTTTTTTTTTTTTTTTCCACTTTTACCTCAGTTCACCCGGTGCTGGGGAAGAGTTTCAGGTGCCAGATTAAATCTTCTCTAAATCAGTTACTTTTTAAAAAATGGAATGCATGTACAATGTGAAGTAAAGATGATGAAGAAGATTCCTGAATGGGATAACTGTGGAGTATTAAAGCACTTACTTTCTTTTCCTGAGTTCATACCATTTCAAAGCACTGGCAAGTAGTCTCAGTATTTCCAGCACTTTACATACGTGACGTTCTTGTATAAACAGCCTGAAAGCACACCTGTTTAGCAAAGCATTTTCACGCCCAACTGTGACTGTTGGGACACAAAATAGCCCTTGGGATTGACCCATTTTTTTCCATGCATTCTTCTCCCTGCTCCCATTTTACTGTTAATTTCATCCTTGCTATAATGGAACAAATTTCTCTTTTCCTCTTTAAAACTGTGGCAATTCCCCAGAGCAACAGAACATCATTATGCCCATTTTAGTGAGGATTTACCTAAGGTCACACAACAAAGATACAGGTCAGAAGCCTCAATTTGCAGTTCCCTTGCTCTAATCACATAAACAAAACTGCCTCTGCCTTTAGTAATTACTGAGTGCCCATGAACTTCAAGACACTTACTGAATTACAGCTCATTCAGAATGGAAGCCATTACTCCAGGGTATCTGACTAATGCCTATCAGCTGACACTGATACAGTTACATGACTAACAATCACCTGTGCACTCGGTTTTAATATCACAGCCTGAATGAAGCGAGAAAATTTTACAATAATCATGTCATTACAGTAGTCATAGAGACTAAATTCACTGGATTTCATTCCAAGTCTTGTAAATTCTCACAGAAAGTCAACTTACATCTGTGGCATGCTCCACATTTGCAAGGGGAATCCATAAAATGCCTAAAATGCTATCCCAGAGCAAGCCTTTCTTCCGCAGCTCTATAATGAATCCCTTTTCATCAGCACTGATTTCACTAAAAACAAATATAAAAATATGTCATTGAGATTTGAAAATATATAAAACATTAAGATGGAAATGCAGTCCCAACTACTATTTCATAATACCATGAATTACAACACAGTGGTTTAGTTTTCAAAAATTGCGAAATAACTGTCACAATATGAACACAATATGATGATGGGCCAAATCTCAGGAACCAAATCCTCAGGATGATTCCTGCAAACTAATGAGAGCAACAATTCTGCTGGAAATACATGGCTCAGACCTCCCAATTATCAGGAGCTTTACCTTGCTACAAGAGTTGTACCTATTGGATATAACAGAGAGGACCAGGAAAGTGCATGTGACTCAGATTCTCCTGAGCTCTTGCATATGGAGTTTCTATTGCATACACAGGACACCAGTCTCCTTGGGACAGCCCTAAAGTGACCTGCACTGTCACTGTTGTACCGACTGGCTCCAGTTTTTCTCACCCCTATACTTGTGGTTAAACAGCTATAATGAAAACAAAATCTAATTCAACCCCTTTTATTCTCCTTTTACAAATACATAGAGGGAGACAGATTGGAAACTTCTTGCTTCAGATGTTGTTCAACTCCAACTTTAATACTGCTGTACTGGTAAATGGACAATTAAGACTATATTAAACCTTAAATAATATGTGTCTTTGCAAAAGTTGATGCTTTGTATTCAATGAAACATTTTTCCCCTCAAAATGGACTAAAATGTGTAAAAAGTCTATATAAATGTATTTGTAAAAGTCTGTTTATAATGTCTTTTAAAAAATCTGCACTGTTGTATAGTTGAGTAAGCAGTAGATGAAGCTAAAACAAGCTCAAAATAATTTGTCCAATTTTTAACTAAATTTATTTACTTCAGACCATGCTAGAGGAGCACTTCAATATTTCTCAGCAACTTTTACGTTGCAAACTCAGAAAATAAACTTTAAAAAATGCTGATTTTCCCTGATGCTGTAGAACACTCATTTATGTGTAGCATGAGTAAAAGGACAGCACTTACAGCAGAAATGCAAATCTATTAAGTATTTTAATGAATACCTTAGAAAAACTGACAGATAAGTTACATTTTGAGATATTTTTAGAATGCCTCTCGCACTAAAGGAAAAAAGGAAAATGATGAAATTTAATTATCTACTGAATAATATACTATTATATTGTCCCCCAAAGTCCCCTCATGTCTTATAAAACTACACTCAGATCAATAACGTGCTAGAAAATTGTTACTACAATATTAGGTAGCAATGACTTTTCTACACAAAACATGACACAATTCACAGTTGCAGTGAGAGAACGGCATGTATAAAGGCTACCTATTGATATCAAGAATAATGTTCCTTAGTCTTCTCAGAGAGGATGCTCCAGCTAACTTAGGCAGTGGCTCTAAACAGTCTGCTTGACACACACAAAGACTGGAAGTGGAGAAGAAAGAGCTTAAGTTAAGCTTCAGTTCATGTTAGATGATTTTGAATACCTCTGATGCTCTTTCACATCTAGCCATAAAATGGAGTAAAATGATGATATAAATGTTAACTTAATACAAATTATTTAAAAAATATATTTATTTTTCAGTTAATCAGTGTCTTTAGTTAAGCAAGCTAATAGTCTACTGCAGCACTCCAAGAAATCAGCTGCATGACATTTGAAAAGCTCCTAATCCAGGCACAGATGGAAGGGAGGGGTTAAAAAAGGCAGAGGGAGAGACCAAGCAAAAAAAAAAAAAAAAAAAAAAAAGTAGAGATCAGTGCCTTATCGCTACATCTTGTGTGATTAAATATTCAATTCTTTTAAATTGCTTTGAAATCGACAGTTGAAAGCAAGGTTCCTCTGGATGTTAGTCAGTATGTACATATCTGCACCCATCTGGCCACGGAGGGTACATAATGCTCTTGAGAACAGAAAAAGAACAAAGAATGGATAACAAGATGGAGAGATGAATCAAAAGAGGACAAAGATCTCCAAGCAGAGATAAGAAATAGTACAAGTTAATATGGACAAATAGATGGACAGATAAAACATACTTCCTAAAAAATCAGTTAAAACAAAATGAAGTTGCATGAGAATAAATTTGAGATCTGCTCTCTCCTAGCATTCCTTGATTCCCACGAGATAAAAACAAAATAAAGAATTCAGACACAAAATATTTTCCTCTTCTTCTTGGCTACTGGCTTTGGTTAGCAGTATGGCTGAACAGCCTTTAAAACTGACTTTTCTTTTGGTCCTTGGTACTAGTCTGATGATATTTCTGAACTGTATACTTTCTTCTTGTCTTTGCAGCCTGTATTTGGTCTCAGACGTTATTAATTGTTCTAAACCATCTAAATAGAGTGAAGACACAAAACAAGCTATTGATACCTGCTACTTACAACATAAAGTCCTGTTCCCAGCAAGGCTGACTTCCTTTTCTGTCTATTGTAGTGCTTTTTAAATTTTGGACTTTTAAAACAACATAGGTGTGGAATGTACCTGAAAAGAAGCAACCATGACGTTCAGTTATATTCCTTGTTTGTTATTGATCTAGAAGCTAGACATACTTAACTCTACAGCCGTACAGATTTAATTTGAAACTATACAACACATTCAAAGGTGCCTCAAATCTGTGCACTTAACAAAAAAATCCTTACTACATCTAATGGGATTATAACAGGAAAAATCCCTTTTGATCACAGGTCACAGGTGTGAAAGAACTTTGCTCACCCTAAATGTGAGCAAGCATTTCGGGAATCAGCTATAAGATAGGGCGTCTTTACATTTATCAATCTTCCTTGACAAATACTGCATGAAATCAGTACAAACTCCATTTATACAAATTAAGATTTATTTTTGCTGTCAAGCAATACAACAATATTGGTGATTGGCTAATCAGAGCCTACACGCAATTAAGGTGAAGCCACACTGGTAGTAATAAGGCTCTTTCACAGCTTTCTTAGTGAACCTTGTTAGAACTGGCTTTCGCATGCACAGTTTACTAGTCACAGAATTGGAACAAATCAGCACACCCAAATAAACCCAATGATTTTTGAAAGCATATCATTAAAATATCCTTGGCTTTAAAAGATGGAACTAAGGGAAAGCACCACTCTCTAGGGCTCATACAGAAAGTATATATACACTGTGTAAGATGGTGCACTATCACAATAGTATTAACGGCTACGGCTGATCTGAAGAGCTTCTCAGCTTGCCTGCATGAAGCACATCTTCCATTAGCCTCCAGCATCTTACACTTGGATCAAATCTGATATTTAAAAAAAGAGACTTTTTTAGAAGAATTCTTTATCAACTATATATATTAAATGTGGCCAAGTACACAAGTCTTTTTTGAGCTATCTGTATCCCCCACAGGTCAAGCATCCAGACTGAGGAGAGCTGTTCCTGCCTACAATGAGTTCTTGAACAGATTGCATCAAATTACATCGCAGTTAAAACACATGAGGGGAAAGAGGTAGCTCTTTACACCCTGTACGTACATCTTCCTGATTCCAACTAAGGATAATATTTGACAAAGACTAAAAATATGATATGTAATAGGAACTACTTGTTTCAAATAAAAAACGATCAATGTTATCTGTTTATTTTTTATAACTCAGAGTACCAGTGTTCTCAAATATACCTTTGTTCTTACTGAACAAATTATTGACAAAGTCAACATAGATTTTTAAGTCTGATGACTTATTTATGATAAATGGTGTCGACAATATGTAATTCACATATTATCCCATCGTTCATTCTGTGTAACTGAGGGAAAATAAAAAGTGAGCTTTTCAAAATGTCTTCTAGTTGCAGAATTTGTTTTTGCTTTGAGTTTCATTTGGCTGAAACCTATTGTATTTAACTCCAGCCATTTAACATTGCCACCTAGATCATATTTTCAATAAAAATCACAACAACCTTTGTGCACAAAATTAGAACTCATCTCCTTTAAATGCAACCATGACTAGCCAAATACAGATAAATGAAACTATCATGAAAAATATCTCTATTACATTCACTTTCAACTCTGTAATTTTTCACATTTGACAATTTCATGATCTATGTCACAAGAATGTATCACACCCGCTTTCAAATCTGATCACCTTTTGTCTTTTCTCAGCTGCACTGTTTTCTCCTTCCTGAAGTTCTGTCATTTGCTTTTTTAAATGGTTACTTCTCCAGAAGTTCTTTACTCCTTAAGCAGCTCGCTCTGAATCTAGTTGTCTCCCTTCACTACTTTACTACTAACTCACCTTCTTACTCAGATTTCAAGAGTTGTATCAAGGGAGAAAGGTTTTTTTGAAGTCCTCTAACTAGAACATTCAAAGGTCTATTAAAAATTACTCATTTTGGAACAAACCATTCTGTTTGATAAGTAGTTTTTTATAAATCATCACCTCTAGAGAATAAACAAAATGTAACATTTACTGAGGGCTGTGGAATCTCAGATATCAGTAGGAATTTAACGAAAAAGGAGGCAGAGAGGAAAAGAGATAAATAATGACACACACATTCAGTCTATCTTTCACAGTAGCTGCTAATGGTCACACTTTGAAGAGAACTAGCAGTATCCTGTCCCACCAAAGTGGCTTACCCTGTGCTGGTTCAGATAACTTCACAGAGGATAACTTTAAACAATTTGCAGGGCTCATTTAAATATAGTGGCTAGAAAACATGGATTTGCATAGATTTTGAAGTCTGTAAGTTTATCATCTATGTGTGAGAAACTTCTGGCTAAGTAAAACCTTTGTTCTCCACTCTTTGACTAAATGTTGGTCCTTGAGGCAGAATTACAGAGTCCTCAGCAGCTTGATTCACTGATATTTGTTGTACAGGGCCTATACCTGATTTGTATAGTTACTAGTCAATTATGTTTGGGCTTTCCTATGTATTTCCTAACAGGGGAACCTCAGGCACCATCTCCTCCTCACTGTGGAAATGCTAAATGCAGCATTCTGTTTATTTTCAAAACAATTTCTCTCAACTTAATATGCAGTTAGGTCATCAGATCCGGTAAAATTTCTTCTTAATGAAATAAATTTGAATTTAATGAATTTTTTTTTTACTATCATTTAAATAGCACTAATCTGTGAGGCAATAATAATCAGCAACTGAAAGTAACAGCGTGAGTGCACAACCTGTTTTTCATCGTTAATTTTCTCCATCTTTTGTTGTTTTACAATGAGGTCTTGATGAAAAGGGTGTTAACAGTCCTAGATTTAAATGCTTCTTTAATACGATACATATATTCTTTTCCAATAAAAAAGCAGAATATCCATAAAACAGAAATTTAAAGAGAAATCAGACTTACCAGCTGCTTCATTCAATCTTCCTTTTTTCACTATATAAAGAAAAAGTGATTGATTATATTCCATTAATACTTATTACTCTTGCCAATGTATTTTATTAAAGAAAAGGATTTCAGTAGTTTTGAGAATCCATCATTATAAATGAAAATTAGTTCTTTAATCACAATTTGGTTCACATTTTTATTAAGATAATATGATTCCTTAGAAATCTTAAGGGAAAAGTTTGGAGAAGTCTATGCAACTTATGCAAGTATCTTTCATAATAATTATACACAATAAACCATGCTTGTTAGTATTGCAATTATTACTGCTACAGCAGTAATTTATACAAAACACTAGCAACAAATGAAAAGCACTGCTGTGCGCCATGTTTAGTGTTTGCATTGACATTTTCTCCTATCAAACATTTGCCTCTAATAGAAATAATGATCCATCAAATTGTTAGTGGATTTATGAGGAAGCAAATGTGTGGAGTGGAAGATGTGCTCCAATGTTACTGGAAACATTTGTTACTGAAGTGGTGCAACTGGAGAGCATCGGTAGAATGAAAGCAGTGTTCAGAACCCAATACTCATTCTATATATGCCTCAAACTCGTCTACTGTCATCCCGCATGTTCAGACTGCATGTTCAATAATAGCTGGAGTAGATTAGACGTACTTCTGGAGTGCACCTGATTTTCCTTGGAAAGAAATTAGATTTTTGTGCATCTGAAGCTGCGTTGTGACACAAATAGAGTAGAAATGGAGAAAACTACTTGCAAACCAAAACCAGAATGATAGTATAAATGTATCCTTTTCCACCAGAAAATAAATAGACATATGCACACAATTGTCAGGAACATCTATCTTTTCTGGCATGTGGAAGATGTAAATTTAAATAACCTCTAATAAGTTACTTGAACTTATTTGGGGTACTCCTTGTCAAAGAAAGTGGTATGGTGATAACAGTTTACATAAATTTTAGAAAAGACTGAGAACAATTTGAAACAGAAATATACTTGGGAGAGAATATTGCTAAATACAAAAACAAAACAAAACAAAAAATCCAACTCCATAGCAAGATATTACACAAAGAGAAGATGATACCTAGCAGGCAGAGCTCTTTGCTGTACTTTGATAGACTATTCAGCTACTGAATTCTGAACAGGCTAGGACTGAATGAGGACAAGGAGCTGCTCAGCCCCTAAATGCTTCAGTTCTGGGCACGCACTAAAAAAGTTAAATAAACATTTTGAGACCTCTGGAGTTCAGATTCCTCTATGGCCAAGAGGCAAATACACAGAAGTATCATTTCAAACACAAAAATCTTCCATTGGATCTGGCCTTCAGTGTATTCCCCCACCATATACACCCCGCAAGCACAAGAAAAGCAGAGAACGAAACTGAAAGCAGTTCCAAAAAACAAACGTATTTCCCAAATCCAGCCTATGCATTTATGCAAAATAACCCATTCAACTTCACATCTGCCAGTGCTTCCAATATTATGACCAGACATTGTATTGGGAAGGCTATCGATCTGAGGTAAGATGTCATCAAAACTAAATAAAATTTAGTGCCTCGTAAGTGGCAACACTGTCTGTGATAAACATTAATTCCCGTTAGGTACATTAGACATGACTCCTGTAATAAAGAGGGACTGCATAAAAACAGTCATGGTATATAATTTTGAACCATTTACAAATGATTTGCAGAAAATCATGCTTGCTCTGTAAGTATCATTACATCTGTGTTCTCTGGTATTACAACAAATATGTAAGGAATAAAATGCCACATTAATATGGTACATGACTTGAAGCACCATTCAGAATTATGTCTATATGGGGTTTCCCAGGTATCAATTCATTGCGGGGCTAAAATGATATGCACAAAGGTAGATCCACTCTAAAATGAGTGGATCAATATTTAGTCATTCTGAGCAGATAAAAATTAGTATGACCTTGAAACACAGCTAGAAGCCAATTTTCCTGAGATGTTTGATTATAAGCTGAAAAGAGATGAACACCATGAAAACTTACCATGAAAGCTTAACGGTTTTGTGCCAGCCAGACAAGAAGCTAAAACAAGAGCTTTAATAATCCATTAACATTTAATGTTTCCTGTCACCATAGCCGAAAAGCAAGACTACTCAGCAATCAGCAAATTTCTCACTCCTTAAGAGTTCTATTAGTAGATCACACAGCTAAAACTCAAACTGCAAAAGGACAGCGCCCACCACTGTCAACATGTTGTGCCTGAAAACTCTATGACTCTGGAGGACAATGGCTCTGTCGCTCTTAACTTAGTTGCCTTGGGATTTCAACAGCTGTGCCTTTGACAGGTGTACTCTTCTCTTAATCATGCTGTTTATATTCTTTCTTTGTATTTGTGCTACTTTGAAGAGGCTGTGGCCTCTAATAGAAGTTCAAAAGAGAGAGCAAGGTCATCTGAATTAACAGTAGGGTATGAGTACTCCCCTTATGCTTTAGGAAAACTGTCATCTTCTAAGGCCCAGATTCACCTTAGTTAAGGTAGTTTCACGTAAACGCAAGAGTCACTAGTGTTGATGCAAACTGTCTGAACTCTAGCTGATAAGCAACAATAATTACTTAACGGTCCCAAAGCTCACAAAAATAGCTTTCTAAATGTTACAAACCTCTGCAGAAAGAGAAAAAACATATACATGGAATCAATTTTCTGTCTAAAACCTTTTAATTCCCAGGAAAACCAAAGCTGTATTGCAGAATCCACTAGCTTTGTAATGCTATCATTTTTTATATTTTACGAACTGGTTAATGTTCAATTTATACTGAACTGTCTGTTCTACAGACACTGCAAAATTTTACTAACTAGGTGGATACAACAGAAAAGGCAAAACATAAAGCAGGTAACCAGGGAGGAAAATATACCATCCATCATCGCAGTAAGCTAGTTCAAAATTCTTCTCAATAGAACTGCAGAGCAATCACTCAGAAGGCTCACCGATTGCTCATCATCTAAACTTGTTTCTATCCTATAAAGAGTTCATTATTACATATTTAATGCGACTGTTAAAGGACACGTCACAGTAAGCACTTTACCAACTAAAAAAGGAACATTCCAAATTCTGACTTTCACAGATTTGAATTCCACCATGCTGTATCGCTTTCATTGATGAAAAGTGCCCCAAAGCTAACAGTACTGTGATTCACACTGTCACAATACTTAACCAAAATCTACTCATGATCATTTTGGATCAAGTATATGACTACATTTCACAAAATTAGATTTTTTTTAAAAAATATAATCTCTAAGTTCTGCTACCTTATCAAGGCATGCAAGCTACTTGAGGGTTGAATTGAATGGCACAGTTCTGTCATCCTACAGAAATTAAATTGGAGCAAATTTAAGGTATAGGTAATTTGTTGCAATTAAGCTAATTGCTCCAATTGCGCCAAATAAGGTAATTGGAGTAAATTAAAAAGGTATTCTTGCTCCAAGAATATCTTTATGCATACCATTTAACTGTTACATTTAGGATGCAGATATTACCAAATAATAAGGAAAAAGAAGAAAAATTTTCAGTCTGCAACGGTCAGGTCTGCCAGGTCCCCTAAGTTCACCATTGCTTTCTGATTCCCTTTCTACTTGCCTACCATCACCTACCTTATTTTTCTTATTCCTGCTTTTATCTTTGGCTTAGCGTTCCTAAGCATTCTATGGAATTGTATTGTATTTGCAGGATGTTTATCTAAGAACCTGAATGATTCTAGCGTGGCTCAAACTCTGAGAAACTTTCACTTTCAAGGCAAATGGGGAGAGGCCATTGAACATTCTCACTGAGCCACTAGCAGACTCCAAACACTGCAGTTCAACCGCTCTGCACAGTTTACAGAATGCACTCTCTTGGCTTCTCTTGAAAGAGGCACTGCAAGAAATACCACCACCCTTTTTAACTACCAGGTGACATCTGCAGTTTACTAGGCTTTACAGCTTTCCATAGTTGCCTACTAAACATTTATCACATTTGTGCAGAAGCTTGCTTAGTAAGAAAAACCTACCTTTTATACAGAGAAGCTCCATTCCAGTAGAAATTTTTTTTGGAGAACAAAATTATCCTAGTTGGCTTGGTGAGGATTAGTTTTCCCTTTTTTCCCCGTTTCCTCACTGCGTGTGCTTCACTTTTCCTGCATGCTCCGCCCATGCTCCACATGGACCAAAGCCAGCCAATTGATGGAACGGTGAAGACCAATGACAAATTCTTCCTCCTCCTGTATATTTGCTGAGATCGGAGAAGAGAAAATACAGTTATTTCCTCACCTGCTATCTACTGTATGCAACTATCTCTAGGCTAAATACATTTCTAAGTGTAACTTCTGCCAGCAGTAACACCCACTCATAGGGACTATTTCATTAAGGACATATGCTCTTAAGTTCTTACACTTTGATTTTAATACATTCAAAGCATCTGAAGTGGAATATGGAAGGTTTAATTTTTATTCACAGGTCCAAACATTCAGGACACCCTTCTTTTACTGTATCAGTTACAGTTAAACATAGGGTTATTTTTCTAAAATAAATCATAAATAAATATTGAACACAAGGAAACAGTAGCTGAATTTTAATATGCTTTATGAACTGAAGCACCACTGAAGTGCAGATACTAGGACCCTTGATGTGAAATCCTGAGATTCTCCTACTCTCTGATGGGGTCTCTGACTGCAACACCCTCAAAAGCTACATGCTTGTTCAAGGGGTGCCAAGTATTACTGCATCTGTCATCCAAAAGGCACCTATTCTGAAATTATGACTTAAGTCATTAGATACAGGAATAATTCAGTCTATAAACATGAGCAGAAGAAAGAGACAAAAAGGATATTTACAAAAACAGCAACGAAGTTATATTCCATGCAAGTATTATTTTCTTAGAAAAGATCCCTTAAAACAAAACAAAAACCCCAAAAACTTACTTTTGCATGAAATAAATATATCAATATGTATGTACAGTGATCTTGAAAGTATGAAGTATACAGAGAACAGAACAGAGGCAGAAGGTCACTCCATCAGTTGAGAATATGGTATGTGTAAATGCTCCTTTTTCCAAATAAAAGTGCTTATGATATTTAACAAAAGAGTAACGGAAAGTAGTGAGCTAGAACAAGCTGTGTCCAGGTCTGGTTTAAGTAAAAGGCATGAACGCAGAAGCTGCCAGATAGCAAGTACATCTCACAAGCTAAAAGTTTCGGTACTTTCAAGTAAGTACCCTGCTGCTTGGTCATGTCCTCCTTAGCGCTCTTCCTTTCTGCTTTTACCATTTGACTAATTTCTGATACTACAATTAGTCCTATAACTTCACTGGAATTAAAATATCCCTACTTTGCAGACAAACTCAGAATCAAGGTCTTGCATTGAAAAAGAAAAAAGGTGTCACTTGCCTTGCATTTCTCTAAACCACAGCAAAAACTATCCACACTTTCAAAGTCACTGTATTTCAAAACAACAGAGCAATCAGGATACGTCAGCTGATACCTGACACACTGCAATGATTAGCTTCCAACAGATTCCAACCTCAACCACTCTGTGATTCTGTGTAGGCAATTTTGTGATCCAAATTCTCATCCAATGTTAAAGAAAAGTATCATTTATCTTTTCTGTTTCTGTGAAACTACATACAGCTTTTTTCTAGTGAGGATTTGCGCCTATACTTGAACTTCCACAGCACATACTAGCAAATTGAAGCCTATCAACATCATTCTGTTATGTCATGAAAAGCAAGGAGATTTGAGACTAATGATTTATGTACTTGGCATGAAAACTCCTATTGTTCTTCTCAGGAAATTCTCTCTCTACAGGATATGTGCAATACAACAAACATGGTCATGAACACATCCATTTCAATACAATATAGAAAATAAGGAAGAGGGCACATTTTAATACTGATTGCAAAAACAGGTGGAAGATGACCTCTCAACTCTCACAGCAAAACACAAATTAGCCTAGTGACATTTTAAAATTTGTAGGAAAAAAGTGAAAACAATCCTTGCAGATAAAAGAATTTTAAATAAATAGTAATAA